TGTGGCTCCCAGTGTTTTCTTTTCTGTGGGAAACAGGTCCAAATGGCTCTTTGAGTGTTTAAGTTTGCCGACCCCTCCTATGGGCAACAGATTCCCCTAGCCGAGGCCAAAAAATAAATAAATAAAATCATTTGGCTAGGGAATTCTGGGAGTTGAAGTCCAATCGCAACAGCTATAGTACTTAGACTTAAATACTGCTTAGAAAGGGCTTTAAACTAAAGCATGGTGAAGCGGTATATAAATTAAGTGCCACGGCTATTGCCACTGGACTTCAAAACATAAACTTCTCCTTCTGTAAATTGGATGCAAATTTGCAAATTGGCGTCTTGTTTTTGGATCTCACATCTCTTGGGCATGGGTTCAAGAGTTGCATCAGAAGGTCGAAATGTTCTCTTCTACCCTTGGCTTGCTGATCGGTAGATTCTTCCGATTCATGCCTGTCCCATCTCTGTGTGTGAGGGCACCCAACATGTGGCATGGATGTATTCTATGGTTTTTTTCCCCCACCCTTTGTATGTTCTGTGTTGACTCAGGCCCGAAGTCTACGTGATTCGGAGCGGATTTTACGAGAAGGACCGGTTGAAATCTCCTGTATGAAAGAGGAATCGCTCAGCCCTTCTGCGCCCCCAACAGGCAAAAAGGGTATTTCATTTTATTAATATGTTTTGCTAGTTAGTGTGCTGACCTAGGCTTCCCAAGACCATGAAGCCGACTCCTCGTCCCGATAAAACCTCTTTTATTTAGGTTAAAGGGGAATTCCTCTCCAGCAAAGTCCCTGCAAACAGTCTTTCATGAGATTTCACAACTTCAGACCTTTGTCTGGCTTGGAGAGCTGCCAGGCCGATATCTTCTAAACGCCACGCTGTAGCAGCAATTACTTGGCAAGAAGTCAAGAACAGATCTTCCCCCTAATGAATTGAACTGATTGTCTCCTGCAAACTCCACTCCCCTTTCTCTCCTCTTTATTCCCTATGGGAGGGGCCATTCACCATCCTCCCAATTCAGTCCTTGTTCCTTAGCTGTTCCCCTCTCCTCTGACTCCGAAGGCAGCTGATAACTGTTGAATGGCCCTCAGTCTGCAACCAGCTTTGCTGGATTGTGACAGGCCACAACATTTAGTAGAATTTTTCCTTATCTGTGGGCTATACAGGTAGTCCTCAACATACCACCACAATTGAGCCCAGCATTTCTGTGGCTAAGCGAGAAGTGTGTCAGTGAGTTTTGCCCCGTTTGGCGAACTTTGTTAAGCGGATCACTGCAATTCCTGTTAGTACGGTAACACCGTTGTTAAGTGAATCTGACATTCCTGTTTACTTTGCTGGTCAGAAGGGGATCAGCCCTGGGACACTGCGACTTGTCATAAATATGAGTTTGTTGCCAAGCGTCTGAATTTTGATTGACATGGCCACAGGGATGCTGCAACAGTCGTAAGTGTGAAAAATGGTCATAAGACGCTTTTCTCAGTGTTGTAACTTCGAACGGCTGCGAAATGAACAATTGTAAGTCAAAGACTACCGGTATAACTGGTGTTGACTTTATTTTTTATTTTTTTTTAAGATTTTTATTAACAAACATGTAAAATACACACACACAAAAATTAGATGTACACCACATTTATACAATGCAGTACGAACA